CTGGAGCCCCAGCACAGGGACACATCCAGATCGGCTGAATCTGCCATTCCGACCTAAGCAGTCTAGCTTAGACATACGGGGGGAACCGCTGGAGAATCATATACAGTGAATGCTGGGTTGCTAGTCTTGAGAAGGTAAGCAGGCCTGTGGCCACCGGGGGCGGGGGTACGAGGGCGACGCCCCCTCCCAAATGTGCCCTGCACTCTCACCAAACAGCCCTGCCTCCCCCCTCTGCAAAGCGCCCACCTGGCTTGCCCAGGGAGGGGAAGCGCGTCTCTGCCCATGCTCAGCCACAGCCTCCAGGAGCACGGGCACCCTGGAAAAGAAGAGGACTGGGCGGGCAACTGTCACATGTGAGCACCATCCTGGACTCGCATCACGCCTCTGGGCTTGGCCCTGCCTCTGGAAGCCAGAGAGGAGTCACCACTGGAGGCGGGCTGGGCTTTGCTAAATGCCGCCACATGTCAGAGCCAGGCTGCTTTGGGAGGTGCGAGGCGGAGCCGGGAGGGCCTGGGCGGGCAAGCAAAAGGAGGCACAAAGGAAGGCCCACTCCCCCAGAGGGCTCTTGTGGCCAATTGCAGTCCTTTGGTAGAAATAAGCAGGAGCTGGGGGGAGACCTGGCAACCAGATCTGGCAGACCTTTTCCAGGTCGGGACACTGACTTCCAGGCAGGGGTCTGGAGCAACGTTCCCTCTAAGCTGAGTTCGTGTGAGCGAGCTCACAGATTTCCGTCTTTGCTCAGGAAGGAGGGCTCCAGAGCAAACTGATTTATGCAGTAGCCAAATCGCTGGCTCACAACTTTAAGGCCAGTCGCTCACAAAGGAGAATTTTTGCTCACCATACTCCACAGCTTAGAGGGAGCGTTGGTCTGGAGATCTCCAGGGGTGACAGCCGATCTTCAGACAGGCGATCCATTCCCCCGGAGGAAGGGGCTGCTTTGGAGGGTGGAGTCTGTAGCATTATACTCGGCTGGGGTCCATCCTCAAACCCCACCCTCTCCAGGTGGCACCTCCAGAAACTGCCCACCCAGAGTGGGCAACCGTACTTCTAGGGAAACGTATGCGGTTACTTTATCCAGCTATTTCTCCTCTGCACGGGGAGCCAAAGCAACCTGCAACATCATCCTCTCCTCCTCTATTATTTCCCTCACAACAACGACCACCCTGTGATGGTGGAGTCAGCTCCACTGGACTCAACTGCCCACTTGTTCCCCCCCCAATTTTCTGGCTACAGGCCCAGAACGTAGCTGCACAAGTGAAGGGGTGTGCAAAGAAGTGGGCTACCCAAACCCAGCACTGTGGCGTCTGCTAAATTTCTGCATCACAGCCACCTAAATTTGTTGTTGTTGTTCAGTCGCACAGTTGAGTCCAACTCTTCGTGACCCCATGGACCAGCTCCCGCCAGGCCTTCTGGTCTTCCGCCGTCCTCTGAAGTTTGCTCAATTTCATGTTCATTGCATCGATGACACTGTCTAACCATCTCATCCTTTGCCGTCCCCGTCTTCTTTGACCTTCAATCTTTCCCAGCATCAGGGTCTTCTCCAGGGAGTGCTCCCTTCTCATTGGGTGGCCAAAGTATTTGAGCTTCAGTTTCATTATCTGGCCTTCCAGGGAACTGTCAGGGTTGATTTCTTTGAGGATTGACTGATTTGTTCTTCTTGCAGTCCAAGGGACTCTGAAGAGTCTTCTCCAGCACCATAGTTCAAAAGAATCTATTCTTCGGCGCTCGGCCTTCCTTATAGTCCAACTCTCGCAGCCATACATGACTACTGGGAATACCATTGCTTTGACCATGCGGACTTTTGTTGGCAGGGTGATGTCTCTACTTTTTATCATGCTGTTTAGGTTCGCCATCGCTTTCCTCCCAAGGAGCAGGCGTCTTTTGATTTCATGGCTGCTGTCACAGTCTGCGGTGATCTGGGATCCCAGGAACGTGAAGTCTGTCACTACTTCCACGACTTCCCCTTCTATTTGCCAAGGAGTAATGGGGCCGGATGCCATGATGCCAGCTAAATTAGGTGACAGTTAAAGCAACTGGCATATACGAGTTTCAGAGGGGACTCCGTGCGGCCTGCAGAACAGCTAGATTCAAGACCAGGATGATTTTCAGGGCAGAAGCTTCCCAGAATCAAAGCTCCCAATTTCTACTCGTGTCTGAGGAAGGGAGTTTTGGCTCTCAAAAGCTTCTCCCCCGGAAATCTTGTTGGTCTCCAAGGGCTCCCGGACTCTAATCTAGTTGCGTAAATTACGACGATGAAAGAAAAGGAGCGCCAAAGTTTATATCAGGCGAGACCAGTGGCTCATTCAGCTCAGCCTCAATCAAGAACCACAAGGGTAAGAAAGAAGTCTGATAAAGGGCCAATATTAAAAACCTAGTGTAAACTTATAATATACAAAAATACATGTATTTATTAGAAAGGCAGTTAAAAATAAATAAGGGCCCAATGAAAGACTTGTTACAAAGTTCAAGTGGACTGAACACAAAGGCCAACACAAGTGACCTGACTGCGTTCCCGCCCTATTGGAGGCCTTCTTCAGAGGTCAAACAGTTTGAGGTACGTGTTACAATGTTACATATTACAATAACATAACCAATAAGTTAATACGAGACCAAAAAAGGAAAGTTAAGTAGCACGATCAATAGACACAAGACAAGGATGTCTGCGAGGCCTCTCAAGATGAGAGTCATGTGTCTGGTGCCAAATGCACAGCTGCTGAATGGGAGCATCTTCCAATTCTGGTCCAGAAAGCACCTATGTGACTATCTTAGTCAGAGCTAGAGTGTCCTCAAACAGATAGCAGTTCATTCAGCTCAGCATCATGTACTTTTGACCAGCAGAGGCTGCTGAGGGTTTTAGGCAGAGAAAGATCTTCTTGACACTTGCTACGGAACATCTGAGAACTGGAAATGCCCAGGGCGGGGGAAGGGCCTGAACCGGGAACCTTTGACACACAAAGGCTGCTCGCTCTGTCTTGGCTCCTTCTGACCTCAACTGCATGAGATCAGCTCTACTCGTGCCAGAAGTGGCTTCTTCTAAGGCCAACAAGCTGACTAATGAGTCAGCGAACAGCCCCAGTTTTCAAGGAGTTACTTTCACTTTCTCTCCTCAAGGTCACCCAGTGAAGTTCCACAGCAGAACGGGGATTCAAACCTGGGCCTCCTGGGTCTGACGCTAACCAACACGTCCACAATGGTTCTTCACCACACAATTTACCTCATTTAAAGAAAAATCTGTGCGTGTGAACTGCCATCAAGTCGGTTCCAACTTACGGCAAACCCATGAATTGATGTTCTCCAAAACACAAGCGGGAATTAAGATTGCTGGGGAAAAGATGAACAACCTCAGATATGCAGACGACACCACTCTAATGGCAGAAAGTGAAGAGGACCTCAAGAGCCTCTTGCTCAGGGTAAAAGAGGAGAGCGCAAAAGTGGGCTTGAAGCTCAACATCAAAAAAACTAAGATCATGGCATCCGACCCTATCACTCCTTGGCAAATAGAAGGGGAAGTCATGGAAGTAGTGACAGACTTCACGTTCCTGGGATCCCAGAACACCGCAGACTGTGACAGCAGCCATGAAATTAAAAGACGCCTGCTCCTTGGGAGGAAAGCGATGGCGAACCTATGGTCAAAGCAATGGTATTCCCAGTAGTCAAGTATGGCTGCGAGAGTTGGACTATAAGGAAGGCCGAGCGCCGAAGAACAGATTCTTTTGAACTATGGGGCTGGAGAAGACGCTTGAGAGTCCCCTTGACTGCAAGAAGATCAAATCAGTCAATCCTCAAAGAAATCAACCCTGACAGTTCCCTGGAAGGCCAGATACTGAAGCAGAAGCTCAAATACTTTGGCCACCCAATGAGAAGGGAGCACTCCCTGGAGAAGACCCTGATGCTGGGAAAGATTGAAGGTCAAAGAAGACGGGGACGGCAAAGGATGAGATGGTTAGACAGTGTCATAGATGCAACGAACATGAAATTGAGCAAACTTCAGAGGACGGCGGAAGACAGGAAGGCCTGGCGTGATCTGGTCCATGGGGTCGCGAAGAGTCGGACTCGACTGTGCGACTGAACAACAACAACAAACACCCTACCGTTTACAGACTCACTCAGGTTAATGAGACTCAGATCTTGCACTCTGAGGGCTTCCGCGACAGATTGACAGAGTCTCATGACGGGTCCCTCTCTTTTCCTGCGGCCTTCAACCTTCCCCAGCATGACTGTCTTTTCCAGTGAGTCTTCCCTTCTCACAACAGGATCAAAATACGATCACCTCAGTTTAGTCATTTTAGCTTCTAGGGAGCGTTCAGGCTTGATTTGATCTAGAACTTTACCTCATTTAAAAAAAAAAAATCTACACCAATTGCTTTTTGACCAACAGGTCTCCAGGGCAACTTACAATGACCAAAAAGATGGAGTGCCACAAAGACCCACATCTAGCAGAAATTTATAAAAGAACAAATCATTACTGAATAGAAGGCCACCAGTAAACAAGCCTCCAAGTTAAAGCCACAAGTTCGGATGTGGTTTGTGATCGCCACCTCTTGCGACTTGCTGCTTTATTCAGCAACGTGTTCTGTGTCTGAGTGATTCAGGCCAGCCCTACCGGCTTCAAGCACCTTCACAGCCCTCTTACATTATTGCAACCCAGCCAGGTATTTGCTGCCTTTCAGGAACAGCAGCTGCGTTTCATCTCAACGGCCCAAGAGGAGGTGGGCCAGAAAGACCAGCAGGAGCAAGAGAAAAAAAGCCCAGTGCCTTCAACAGCAATGCGTTTTGCTCTACATCTTCCAGATACTTCCTTAGAAAAAGTATTCCAGTTCTGTCTGCTCTTCCTGCACTCCCCCCCCCCCCCAGATGTCCTGTGAATATGCCAAGCAACCCTGGGGGAGAAAAGAGAGTTATCTCCCCTCGCCCGATACCACTGAGGAGAGGTTACCCTTCCTTGCTTTCTCCAAAGCACCGTGCGAGGTGGAGCAAGAGTCAGCCCGCCTGCAACTTACCGTAGGGAGTCCCTGGGCCAAAGTCGTTGGCTGCCTCCGTCATGTACTGCGCCAGGAGCTCCCCGTTGGTCACCCGAGAGGGCACTTTCCGGTCTAGCTTTTCATACAGGAATTCTTCAACTCTGGCACCTGGAAGACCAGAGAGACCTTAAGACTAACACGTGCAATTACTGTCGTGTGCTTTCCAGAACAAGCATATACTTCGTCCAGTGCAGGAAGTGTTACTCTCAGCTAGCAACTGCACCTACACTCGGGGGGGGGGGGGGGAGATTATAAAGTGAAGCCTGGAACCTCACTGTTCCAAGATGTAGGTGTATTACATTGCATTGCAGAGCACAAGTGAAAAGAACAGCCGGCGGAAAGATTAAAAACGATCCAATTTGAATGGATCACTCCCAATGGATATGAATTGACAAAGCAAGGCTGGTAGCAGAGAAACCTGTGAGAAGGCAGCTATTTTTGGCAATGCAATTCCAGTGCCACAGCCAGATCATCAGAGTCTTGTGGCACAACTAATAAGCACACTGTAGCATCAGTTTGCACGAGCCAAAACATACTTTGTGAGTTTTGACCCATGAAAGCTCACACCATAAAGCACTTAGTTAGCGTTCAATGTGCCACAACAGTGCCGATTTTTCCCTTGGCGAGCTACCCACTTCCAGTCTCTATTGAGGCCAAGCCTGAGAGTGTCAGATTTACACAGAGGTCATTTCGGGGGGGATCACAGTTCCCCCAGGTGAGGTACGGGGGGCGGGGCACATGACGAAGCCCCGCCCCCCGCTTCCGGCCGCCCTGCTTCTGGCCCTCATTCAGCCAGGAGGGGCGGGGTGTGTGGTCTTATGACACACTTCCGGTGATGTCAGGGGGTGTGGCATATGCTAATGAGTTATGCTTATGAGTTCCCCTAGCTCTTTTCCTACGAAATGACCCCTGGATTTACATATGCATTCCCACAAGGCAGTGGCTTCAGATCAGGGGTGGCAACATTTCATAATTAGATGACAAACCGCTTCAACACTCAGAGCAAGAAATCGACAACCTGGCTTCTCTTATGTTCTTAGGTATGAGGCTGTGAGGCTCTGTCTTCTTGGTGCTTGGGGGGCCCACAGTGGGAGGGCTTCTGGAGTTCTGGCCCCACTGCTGGACCGCCTGATGGCCCCTGGGTTTTGGCCACTGTGTGACACAGAGTGCTGGACTAGATGGGCCACTGGCCTGATCCAACCAATATGGCTTCTCACATGTTCTAGTGCTCAGAGGGGGGATCTTACGCCTTACAAGGTGTTATGGATGTCCCTTTTGGGGAAGGCTAGGCAGACCAGATCAAGGAAGCCACCAAACTATCCACTTACCTCAGCTGCCAGCCTTTAGCCCACCAGAAGAGGGGGAGAATCCATTCATAGGATTATCCTCCTACAGAATTTTTAAAAGGATCCAAAGCATTGCATCCTTTTTGCAGTTTTTTTTAAATTATAAAAGCATATATACAAAAAAATAGGTAACAGGTTTTACGGAACAAGCATGGACCGAAAACACAGCAGACTTGTGGGCACTATTTCAGGCGCTGTCTCTCTAGCTGATTCCACCTGCACTTTCAAACTGAAAGTTCACAGAACTTTCCCTGCGGCTTCTCAGAGCAACACAGTAGGATGTTGTGACTCCACTGGCATAAACAATTCTGAGTCACAAGACCAGTTTTCACAAAAATGCAGGCATAGATTGCATAACGATATGTGAACTACATAATTGACTTGCGTGTAAAGCTTCGTCCTGGGCTAGGATCCAAATCCATCCAATCACACTTCTAGCCCAGGAAGAACCAACCAATCACTGGTCAGCAAGCTCCCTGAGCGGGAATGTCTGTGATTGGTCCTTATGTATACAACCTTATTGGTTGATAATTGTATAGTAGGCGTGGCTACATTAGCCGGGAGAGGTTAAAAAGGGAACAGCTTTAATGTAAAAGCTGGCTATCAGATGTTGATCCGTGTTGGAGTTGTGTTCGAGTTGTTGAATAAAGTTGAACCTTTGCTGAATCACTCTCCGACTACTTTGTTAAGCGAGCGACTTAACAGATCAGCACGCTGAATCAAGCTGAAGGCTGAAGTGAGCCTGTCAACGTTAAATCTGGAAATCTTTTGAGGCCTGGCAAGCCTATATGTATCACAAGAGTCTACCCATCTGAAGCTGCCATTTCCTCCAGGGGAAACTGACCTCGGTAGACAGGGGATCAGTTTTAATTTCAGGAGTGCTCCGGGCCCCAACTAGAGCTTGGTAACCATGGCTACAACTTCAGGTGGGAAGTTCTAAAAATGCAGGGGTATGTGTCGTGGAATTAGGGCCTGGATTGAGCCTCAGTCCTCTGTTAAACCTATGTTACTGTAATTTCTATAGTAAAGTATAGCTGAATCCTTGATTTTGTTTCCCAGGAGGCTTCCACTGGTGCTGTGGCCTTGTGGTACCGATAACCCTGTACATGACTTTTGCCTTAGAGGATGTTTATACATTCCAGGAGTTGGTGGCGTCAGTATCAGAATCAAAATGGATGGGGTATTTGAAACTAGCTTCCTTGACTCTCGTTCACTTTCTGTGAGCTTCCTGATCCCAGAGATATAGAGAAGGGGGAGGGATTTGAGACGGTACATCAGGTCCGCTCCAGTCTGTTCCAGTTTGGCCTGTGTCACATTCATAGTAGTCCTACGTGATACGTACGTCAGCAGCTATAGGTTAGTAACCTCTGGTTCCATGTGAGACCTTGGTGGTTAGTCTAGAACGTTCTGAATTTTATACGTGCACTATTTTAAGTACCGGGTTGAAATATTCTATGTTGAGTACTGCAATGCTATGTTGAATACTGAAACTGAAATGCAACTAAGTGTTTTCTGTCTTAAGAGTGTATAATGGAATAAACTGAGCTTTGTTTAAGAATCACTGTCTCTCTCTATACTAGATTCAGTCTGTTGTTAGGCTCTACCCAACCAATAAAAGAACGCAGGGGAATGGGGGGGCTGACCCCCGGAATCCCTCAACAGTATGCTTGCTCTCCAGCTGGGGGAAAAAATCAGGATCCAGAAGCAGCCAGAAATGAAGTTTAAGCAGATGCTCTGCCATTTCAAGGCCAGCCACAAACGGTTTGGCTGCCTCGGGCTCACTGAAACTTGATCCTCACCCTCACATTTAATGACAAAGAGTCAAGTGGAGTACAGTTTCCTAAATTGCTTCCTTAATTCCAGTAATTTAATCGCTGATGTGATTCACACTAATCTGGACGAACGTTTCCTCACCTACCTACTTTAAAGGATTCCTGGACACCATCACTAAAGCCTCTTCCACATTCTCATTTTTGTCACCTGCGTGTCCCTATTGCTTCTGGAGGGAGGTGGGTTCTTCTCCATACATGTTTTGCTCCTCTATTGGTCAATTTGATATTACAACACTGTATGTCCAGTGTATCCCCCTGCAGACTTAAACTGCAGGTATTTATGCCAGACATACAGCAATGTAATATCAAACTGATCTCTGAACGGAGCAAAACATGCTTGGAAAAGAAAACCCCCGAAGCAATAGGGACACACAAGTGATGAGAATGAAGAAGAACCCTAAGTTTCAGGACCCTCCATAGTAACTCAAGAGCGAAAGAATTAAAGAGCTGGCGGCGGCACCAGCTCTCTTCCCTTCCCCGCATACATCTACATAACCAAGGCAGCAAGGCCTGGAAATCTGGTGACACCAAGGGACTGACTCGTTTGCTTCCGTGGCTGAGCTGGTTCTACCTCTGTTGAACTGACCAACAATGGATCTGTTTGCGAAGTTAACAAATAGCCAGCCAAGATGCAATGAAGGGCAAACTGCTGGCACTGAGTGCCGATCGCTTGGCATGTTCACCTTGCACTCTGCAGTCAAAGTTTACATAGAGACCACGCTTGCTCTCCAGACGCATTTTCGAGCTGCAGAAAGCAGTCATAGGTAGAGAAGAGGGACTTGGACTGGGCTGAAGCACTGGGGAGGAAGACTTTGTCCCACCCCTACTTTCCTGGTAGGAGCTTCCATTTCCCTAAGCTGTTACTAAGTAGGGTGCAAGGAGCCCCCCAAATAGCAAAGCTTCTGTCTGGTTTTCCAACGCTGGCCAAAAAAAAGAGGTCCACATATGGACACCTGTCTTTATTCCCTCCCAGGGAACAGGGGCTTTCTATCAGGGAAAAGTCTGGGGAGAAAGGTTAAAACCTCATTCCCTCACCCAAACTACTTTTCAAGGTCAAGAGTACACACTGGGAGCTCCAGTCCCAAAGTTTGGTCCTATAAACACTGTGACATGGAAGACCTTGCATAGACTGCATGTTAAAAAATGCAAGGCCGGTCTCCCTCAAACAAACACAAGAGTGGGCCTCAGTCCTGATCTGAATTGCTGGTAGTCCACATGAACTAAGAAGATCAGCAGGAGAGTCCCAGCTGCTACGGGGGGAGAAAAATGGCAGCAAGGACTGCATCTGAAGTGTTTTTCTACTCCTTCCGGTTTGCGCTGGAGGAAACAGACACCTGGGAGCCTCCTCCGGTCACTGTGCAGTGCCAGCATGGGGGGAAACAAGCAGACGTTGCACTGTTTGGAGGGCTCCCTAGAGCAGACCAGCACAGAATCACATCTGGGGTATCGCAGAGCAGAAGCAGTTGAGCTTTGTGGGCTGCCGAAGCCAGCAGTCTACTTATTGCCAGGGGTCCTGCTTGAACCCAGGGCTTCCCCAGTGCAACTAATGAATCAACGGTTCCAAGATCAAATAAAGGCTTACTAGGGTTTGGCTGCAGCAAGACTTCTGTCTGACGCAAAATCTTCTCTGTCCAGTTCTTGGTGCTGTCTGCCCGGGTCAGAAGGTTTTCAAAGTGCGCGTCCAATTCAGTCTTCTCAGCCTGGCCGAACTTCTCCTCCGTGAACTGTTGAGAGGAACGCAGAATGACCCGTCAGTATGCAGCATCAGCTAGCCGGCCTTTCAGCCCCCCCCCCACACTCCCCTTTTATATGCTGCCCAGTGAGGCTTTCAAGTCACCGTCCAGCAAAATCAAAGGGAATCGAGTTAAAAGCATCAATATCCATAATCAGTGGAGCCGATGAAGGAACAATATGAAGCATCAATGGAGGGGGAAGAGCCAACCAGAACTGAAAAAGACAAACTGAGAACCGGCCTGCCAGACTCCCTTAATGGGGCCATAAATCCATGATGCATTTTTTTTTGGGGGGGGGAGGAATGCTCTCTCCTGGGGTTCAGGAGCTTCGGCACGTATTCCAGGAGCAGACCCAGGTGTATTCCGGACACTGCCAAGCTACCTGACCGACACCCTGAAACTAATGCTCCCTCCAAGCTGTGGAGTCTTGTGAGCAAAAATTCTTACTTTCTGAGCTACTGGCATTAAAGTTGAGAGTGAGCGATTTGGCTGCTGCATAAAGTAGTTTATTCTGGAGCCATCCTTCCTGAGCTAAGGCAAAAATGTGTGAGCCAGAGGCTAAAAAACTGTGAGCTAGCTCACACTAGCTCAGCTTAGAGCAGTGATGGCAAACCTTTTAGAGACCGAGTGCCCAAACTGCGACCCAAAACCCACTTATTTATCGCAAAGTGCCAACACGGCAATTTAACCTGAATACTGAGGTTTTACTTTAGAAAAAACAACCCATACATTAACTTAAGATGATCCAAACAAAGTAAGGGAAGCAATCCCAAATGCTTTCATTTACTTAAAATTATTTGGCAGAGAATACTTTAATGATGGTCTGGGCCTGGCTGGGGTGATGGCATGCGTGCCCACAGAGAGGGCTCTGAGTGCCACCTCTGGCACCCGTGCCATAGATTTGCCACCACTGGCTTAGAGGAAACACTGCCTGAGACTTCCTTTCAAGGAGTGACAATTCCAGCCCTCATTGTTTTTAAGACATCCCGGATCTCTGATTGCCCATTAAAAGAAGGCTGGGGGTGAGTTCTAGTCCCTGGGTATTAAAGCTATGCCATGAAGATACAGTGGTCAGTCAGGACTTCCAAAGCAAGGCAATCTTGGCTCCAGAGCACCTGCACACCGACAAATCAGACACAGGTTTGGCTAGCAGTCCCTCAATTTCCTTTCATCCTTCATGAAGACCATTTATTAAAACCTGTATATCCCGCCTTTCCACGCAGTTCAAGGCGGCTTACAGTAATAGTTAAAAGACATTTACAGCTAAAACCAAGAATAAAACACTCCGATTTTTTTCAGCAGCTAGCACCTTCCCCATTATTAAAACCATTCTTTTTAAAAAGCCACTGTGAAGTTACACTGGGGATTGAAATGGGCAGGAGGGAAGGCTGGAACAGTAACAGGATTTAAGCTCCGTGGTGTAGTATAGATGGGACTATAAAGATTTCCCCCCTCATATTTCTCTGGTTTTTATAGATCTATTCTTAAATAAGATTTTATTAGGATGTAATGATTATACAGAAGGCCTCTCTTTCTAGGTCAGGGTATTTTCCCAGCTGAGGCTAGCATACAAGACAATAGCATTCTTTTGGTACAAAAGAAGGTATAAGGTTCATGGTTCTAATCGTTTAGGTAACTTCACAGTGTCTGGGTCAAAAAGGATTTTTAACTTAGTATCAGAGAAAAACACCTTTGTTTGGGTGAGAACGAGCCTTGGCCGATACGACTCAGGTCAGGTCAAGTAAATACGTGACGCTATCATACAGACACACCTTTCTTACATTTGACCAATAAGGAGATTTTCATTTAAATGTTGTTTAATTTCTTGTAACCAATTATGCTTTCTGAATATTATTTTCATGATGATTTGTATGATGATGTCATATTAAGTATTTAATTTAGTGTATTTCCTGGTTGGGCTCAGAAAGCAGTCAATTCTGATGGGTCATTTGGCGTGTTCTCCATGTTTGATTGCAATTAAATACAAGATCTTCCTCCTCATTGTGACTTCAATCTCCTATTTTTGACTGGATATTAATTTGTATAACAGTGGTGCGGGATCTATTTCGTATGCAGGTCCCAAGCTCAATCCTTGGCATCTTCAGGTGAAAGAAGACCTCAGGAAGCAGGTGCCCAACAAGACTGTTCTGCCAGAGAGCCCCGGAGGGCCGATGCCAGAGTAGGCAATACTCAGAAAGATGGACCAAAGGTCCAATGTGCTATAAGGCTGTGCCACGTAAAAGAAAACACTCCGTGTGGAAACAGGGGTTCCAGCACGTCCAGGAAGGGATCCTGGCTGCCTTTTACAACCCAGGGGTCAGAGCCAAATTCAGGAGCTCTGGATTTTTGCACACCTGGATTTCCACCCAGGTGGAATGCCAAGGATTAAAAACAGGACCTTG